GGGGGGGGGGAGAATCAACAACACAGGCGACGACAGGCGGCCGACAGATAGACAGATAGACAGACAGACAGACAGACGACAGGCAGGCAGAGAAGACGGTGCCAAAGAAATGGCTGAGAAAGTCGAACAATCCCCCGACTGTAATACTTGGTAGTCACACGGCAATCTAGGAATTTCGTCCTTTGTGATTGACAGGGCTTTCCGTGGGGCTACCATGTTCTTAGTTGTGAATTCCTTGTTTCGGACTTTGCTCGTGATCATGGTATTCTGTTGCTTTGACTTGAATAGAATGCGTGAGGCAGTGTAGGACTTCTGTTTCAGAACGGGCCTTCAATGAAATCCCCAAATTCAGGTTGATACTCCATTTCCAATATAACCATAGTTCTGCCTCCAACGAGCAACACCAAACATGAAACAACCACGTCCGCGCAGGAAGTAGCAGGTAGAGCGTATGACGGGCCGCACGCTTATCCCTCCTACAGAGGTACGCAACTCGTCAGCTAGTTACGGGTTAGGCCCAGAAAAAAATAGCGTCCGCTCATTGGGAGAGACTGTACAGTCCCGAGCGACGAAGGCTGAATTTGCTTCAGTATCATGAGTGTCCCCAAATGTATTGGGGACATTCTTCCATACTAAAGCGAAGTCAGCAAATATTTCCAATTGATACTGTAGGTTGTTCAGACTTTTACCAACAGGGGAACACGCGGCTTGGATATATGTGTACAGCAAGTCAGAGGCCGAGGAGAGGTACTACACGTACATCCCACAGCGTATGCATACCAACCCAAAGAAGCATGATAGGCCAAGGTGTCTCACGTGCTTCCAAACAGCGAAGCCTTGTGAAGACGGTGCGGCAAACAGGCGTTTGGGTGCTGTGTCCCGAAATTGTCCCCATTGGGGCATTCAGTACTACTGCAAAGAGGCTGCGCTCGATTCCCAAGCGTAGGTTGCGTTAGATACCATATCCCCTGGAATGATTTTCACAGGGCGATCGCTTACCCGACGCAAAACCAGCATGACGGTGTGCCGAAAATGGTCGCGCTGGGACCTTCTCACCAAGGGCTTCCCGCAAACGTACCGCTTGGTTTTGGCATCCTCTTCGTCGTGGAGTGAGCGAGCTGTGAAAAATCGGTCCAGGGGGTGTGGTATCTAACGCAAACACTGGTTGCAACGTTACTTCCACCGTAAAATCTGTATCATACACGTGTCGGTTTGTCTGTGCGACAACACCGAACACAGCCACCACCTTTCGACGTACCGCATCGATGTAGCTGCTGATCTTCGTGGTGGACACCAATATCTGCATGCTCCGGACAACGTCGGCCTTTCCCTCCTCTAGCCCTTCCCCCGTGGCCGTACTGCCCCCTCTCAACCCCACGACGCTGCTGGCCCTCCTGCCCGCCCTAGCCTCCTCGCTGCTGGAGCTCCCTTTCTTTCTGCGCGGCAAGCCCCGACCTCTCCCGTTGCCAGAGCCTACAAGCCATGCAGGCCTGGTACCGACCGCCCTGCTTCCCCTGCCTTCACCGACGCCACCGGTTGCTGGTGCTGGGGTAGCGGTGTTGGAGGTCAAGCATCCGGTTGAGGAGTGCGCAACATGATCCTGTCGGCAACGATGCACGTTTTTTCTTCGCCCACCACCAACGCTTCCTCCGGCGCTCGCCGCTGGTGCTGTCGCGGGCACAGGTAGCACTTCGTTGAGTAGGCCCACGAGAGCTGCGATGCAGACAACGCGGCACACCGATGGAGCCATACCCTTGCCTTGTTTCTGCACCGAGACCTAGTGTGTGTGTCTAAAAGGCCGAGGCGGGGGCCCGCGGTTGAATCTGGCAACCAAACATACCCCTGTGTGATATCCAGTTTTTTTTCTCCCATCCTGTCGTCTGCCCCTCTGGCCCCTATCCTCCACTTCTACCAGCTAGACGACCCAACCGGGGTCACACATGAGGGGGGGGTTGGACCCCCTCCTGCGGTTCTTGCCTGAGATAGTTTTATCGCGAGAAGGGTACAGCAATCCCTTCCCTCGCGACTTTTGAAGTCGATGAAGTTTACTAACAACGAACTTCAAACTTTGCACCGCGTTGCTTTCAACGGAGAAAAAAAGTCAGTCTGTCGGGACTCGAACCCATGACCTGGCCCTTAGCAAGCTGCGAGACTACCCACTAGACCACCGGGGCGACCAGTGTAGATGTGCGGATCATCATGTGCCGCTGTGTGCCGCTACCACCTTGGCACAAAGAGCTACAAAACACAAAGGGGGCAGTTGGGGCAATACCGTACCGACTCTCCATGTGCACGCCGTGGATAATTTCCCCTTCGATGCTTCCAGCACATCAAATTTGCTGTCGTGCATTCGCGCGTGGTCGTCTGTACGCTGCAGATCCTACTAGTAGTGCCGTAGTCTACTGCTGCAGATCCCGACGACAAAAGAAGCAAATTCGGGGTCGATCATGAGATATTGCAAGGTCCGGCCGACCGCGTTCACAGGACGAAATGAGATGCGGCACGCCAGGGAGTCAACACGTCGGCATCGGCAGCCCGTAAGGTGGTCATCAACGGCACACGAAACTTGATCTTCGTTTGTCCCGTCAAAGCAGCGTCATGCGCAAAGGGACTGATATTTACCGGAAAATTTTGTCAGACGTTCCCGACATCTCCAGGCCTAGCAGCAGTAGACGAGCACAGCATCATGTGCCAACCAAAGGTAGAGAGCAGGTGCATGCGTAACGCTACGGGAACAGCACCAGCAGGCCGACAACGCGCCATCTGATGTCGCTCGCAAAAGAACCAGATCGAATCGAGCGACTAGATTACGGAAGCAATCCAACCCCACGACACACCCAAACTGATAACTTGCCAACGTGTCCGCCCGGGCGAACCAAGCAGCCGAAACACCATTCAACACGCGAGCCCATGCCTCGGTTTACCGAAATCTTTCACTTTACGACAACAGCCAAAAACGTTCTCAAACAGCACAGCGGTGTTTCACGTTCTGCAATGGGTGTTACTCTCGACCGGACCAACTAAACCGCATACTCTACGCAACCCCAAGCCCCCATGCCGGTCGCGAGAATTCTCGAAGCGACGTCAACTACCCTACGATCAAATCTGCGCTCAGCTTAATACCCCCCAGTGGTTACTGCTGTGCATCCGTTTCTATGTGATAGACCTATCCCCAACAGGCCTCCCAGCTCGCCTGCTACAACCAAGCCGGCTCACTGCAAAGACTTCAACACACCCCTTTCGGCAAAACATCTCCAACGGGCACTCCTTCTGTGATAGCATGCGTATTTTCTGAAAAAATACAAAAAATCTATTCTGTAGAGACGCTTTAACCTTCGCCTTGCTTTTGCCCGTCTCCCTCGACCGCGTCTTCTTCTGTGGTCACCGTGGCCCACGTCCCGGTTTTTCGCCGCACCACGTCCGTTTCCGTCAACTGAACCCCGTCCTCGCGAATCTCGTAGTCGCTATCCCCCCCCCCCTCGTGGGCACCCGCTGCCGCACCCCCGCCAGCTGCGCCGGCTTGCTCTTTTCTCGTCACCATGCCCTTCTTGCGAAGCTTTTCGGTCAGCTTCTTGGCCGCATTGAACACGCCTTGGGTCTGCAAGGCAGAACAAGTACCGTTTACAACGCGTGCAGTCGTCGGGTACAAGGAGAATACATGAAGGTTTATTGGAGCACACAATTCGAGAGACTGCTGTACTAGCAGCAGATCTCTCGAACGCTAAGAGCAAAACCACGTGATCAAACGACAGATAATTCAAACAAATACAGGCAAGTGGTTGGCGAGGCATCCTCGGGATTCAGGGATTCGGACGGGTTGACGTTGCTTCGACAACTCCCACCAAAGCATACAGTAGTCCCAGACCAGACACGAAATCGTGTCCAACAGATAAAGACGAACCAAACGGTGCCAAAAAACAGGCAAATACGCCATCTCCGGACAAAGTCCAAACAAGCGATGACGTACACGGGCGCGTACCTGCTTTCCACAAGCGGCGCAGCGTGGGTTGGTTTTGTAGTGCTCCTGGGCGCACCGCTCACAGAAGTAGTGACCGCAATTTGTGACTATCGGGTCAATGAACCCCTGCCTGCAGATCAGGCACGCGAAAGGGAGATCGTCGTCGCTCTCCACCTGCAGAAAAAAAAAAGAAAACGGATCCCTGGAATAAAGCATATCAATACGTCTTGGCCAACCGTGCGTATCAGACGTCTGTCTCAACGGTAACGTCAAAGACGTGGGCGTGAAGATCAAGTTCTGCGGTTCCGCTACTCCGCTCACAAGCAAAGCGCTGTGTACTTCGCTCGCCTGCAGGTGCTACTTCCACCGTGGGTGCATCTCGCAACACCAAAACATGGTGTTGGAATTTTGCAACAAGGATAAGCTTAGAGCAAGAAGGGCAGGGCGTCCGGACTTAAAACACATCGACGTTGAAGCACGGATCATGCGGAAACGCGATGCCCGAAGAACATGCGACCGCATGCGGGGTACTGGCGCTCGGACGGAGCATTTGCCAAGCAACCGGACAACGAAATCCAAGTGCAAGAGCTTCCACAAAGAAGAGGGTGTGGAAAGGACGTAAGACAAGGATTCTGAAGAAGAATGATGGATGATTGCTGTGCTGGCACGCGAAAGAACAGGGAGAGGGACACGAGAGCTTGGAGGGGACGCAAATCCACGAGGACTTCAACACAAATGCGGGGTTCTTAGAACTAGGAGACGGAGAGAGGGAGGGAGAGAGAGAGAGAGAGAGAGGAGAGAGAGAGACAGACAGAGGCAGAGAGAGAGACGGACAGAGGCAGAGAGAATTTACGACAGAGGGCCAACAGTAGAAAATAAGCAACAGCAAAAGCCAATAGCAACACCAATTAAACACCCGCAACAACAACAACCACGACAACCTCCAGGCCGCAGCAGCAGCTACAACGGCAACAACATATGTACTACAACGTCACAAAAAAAAGAAACACACACAACGAAAACACCCTATCACTCACCAAGTATTCCTCCTCGTCCTCCTCCTCTGCCCACTCCCCGAGCGCCTCCCTCTCCTTCCTCTTCTTCTCCTTAGCCTCGAACTCCTGCTCCATCGCCCACCCAGACTTATAGTCGGCTCGATCGTGCAAGAACTTACAGCTGTCACCGAACCCGCAGAACCCCGTCTAGGCGTGGCCCAATCATTGGCGCAGGAGAGAGAGAGAAAAAAAAAAGTGCAGCGGAACTCATGAGCAATTCGGTGGGGAACGGACTGTGACCAACGGTCGATGACAGCCGGGATGGCAGGGGGCGGGGGGCAAGTTGCCCGGCAATGAGACACGCGTCCTTCTCGTACCACACACAACAGGGGTGGCCGATTCGCGCGCTACACACGAGATCTAGCAACGAAGGCGACAAATCGCGCCACTTTCCCCCTCCCTACATAACGAGACCAACGAGTTGGTGCTGCATGGAGCGCCACAAGCTATCCTGGGAGAAACAGCGGTACACAAACATTGACGCCATCGCACCACGTCGATCACCATCACGACCACTTGCACCAAACACACCCATCGGGAATTCGCGCAAGCCGCGCACCTCTTTGTAGTCCTTGCAGATGTCAGGCTGGTAGTCGAACCGGCAGGTGGCTCGAAGGAAGGTGGGCGCTCGTATCGGTCCCTGGGTCCCGGTGTGCTTGTTGCCTCCGATCTGAGAACGCGTGTTAACCCCGCGGGGGTCAAAAGCGTTTGCAACGAAACAAATAAATGATGACGAAGACAAAACCACATGCGCAACACATGTGGAGAGTACGGTGAGAGTCTCAGTATTTACGGGTTTTCACAAAAAGCACCGCTGGCAACAGCGTGCAACAGAATAATCGAGATTTCGAAACTCTGGATAGCGCCGGGTGCCTGCTCCCTTCACTACTTGCTCATGGGAGGTGTACGACTAATTTTCTTTGTCGAGATTACCTGAGCCTCGTCTTTCTTGATGTGGTTTTTGTACCCCGCCATTCCATGGTAGAGCCCGTCCTTGTCAGTTGTCGTTCCTTCCCTGGACGCATTCGCGTCCGTTCCGAACAACCAGACATTCGGCGGATGAATGAGGAGACCATGTCAACGATGGTTCGAGAAAATTTGGTGAAACCATAAGGCAGACTAGCGCCGAGGTAGCACAGTGTTTTTCATACTTCGAGACGGCTTAGATGCCAGTTTGGTGGTGGGCCAGCTGTTCGCATGGTGACGAAGCAAACGGTACCAATCACGAGACGAAACCTTGAACGTGTCTTGAGGGTGGACTAGCGCTGTTCCTCTATTTCAGCCACCTACCACGCCTTCATTAGTGTACAGACAGCACATCAGGCAGCCGTACGCTGTAGTCGACAACCATTCATTTCGGAAAAGTGCGGGGCAAGGGGGGAGAGGCTGCTGCTGTGGTCGAATTGTAGTGTGTGGGCGTGTATTTCAGTTTTGAGCACGCAAACGTGCTGCAGGGATTGTAGGAGTACCTCTTCGGATCTGCTGTGTACCCTTTTCTTACTAATAGTGTGTGTGTTCTTCAGATCTCCTGATGGCGCTAGCATTTTTGTGACCACGGACCGAGTCCTTGCAATATTTTGGGATTAGCAACTGACACGAGTTACATGTGAAGGCAACAACAACAAAGGCATGCCTTCTCACGGGGAAAAAAATACCGATGGTAGCCCAGCACCCTGGCGACAGGCCCTCAAAACGCCCAACGGAAACAGCAGCATCATGACAGCACTGGTCAGGACAGCGCACACATCGATACGGAGTCGCCGCCGACAGAACTCACTCGTTTAGGCGGATGTTTTTCTCTAGGATAGCCCTGGTGTCCCTATCGGCCTGCGTGTCGATCTCGGTGTAGTGCGTCGCCCCTCCCGCGTTGCTCACCGGCACCGCCGTCCTGGAGGAGTCGAACAGGCTCCCGGAAGACATGGTCTCCTTCGCCAACGCCTCCCTGGCAAACGACGACAACAAGCAGAGGGTCGGCACACGAGCGAGGTGTAAAAATAGGTTTTCTACCCATGTGGGAACCGGATCAACTTGATATGGCGGATAAACACACAACATTCGATCTAAACCCACCTCCATATTCATCTTCGGGAGCACGCAACCCTCGTGTTGGCATATGCCAGTTAAGAGTACGTTCTGTCCCGGCTTCATCGTTCTTCATGGCTTCTTTCAGAGAAAGTAATTGCCCATAAAAGCGGGTGAGCGCCATTTAAAACACCCCCCTAAATATGAAGGTGATCGGATCTGTGGGGACAATGCTCCGTCCTCTCGAGGACGCGTGGTCAATGGTCTAACCGCGAAGGCATGCAAAATATATGAGTACGCCCCCCCCCGCCCCGCCTCCTAAATATGAAGTACATACGGGGCACCATACTATTGAAAAACGGCGCTTGTTTCTCGGGGGGTGTCCTTAATGAAGCTGAACACACGGACGACTGCTGTCACCACAACTGGTACAGCTCTTCTGGACGGGAATTGACCAACAGTGCAACCGGCGCCTTTCTGTCAAACGCGCGGCCGCCTCGCCCACCTTGCGGCCGCCCGTGCCTCCGCGCCGCCGCTCCCCCCTCCCGTCGAAAAGTTATTGACCCCCTTCTTGCCCTTCTTGTCCGCCTTCACCACGGCAACGTCATCCTCGCTGCTGCTGCCGCTGCCGCCGGCACCCTTGCCCTCACCATTCGTTACCCGCGACCGCTTGTTGCTGCGCATGCCGCCTGTCGTGTGCGGCGGGCGGGCAACAAAAGGCTGTGTTGGACGAGCGGTGTTTCGGTGCAAACTACAATTTTCCTGCTTGCCTGCGGCAGCTGTTGGAGAATGATGTCGCGTGTGGCATTCAAATGTGGATAAGAGAGCAAACCCGGTGAGAAACCGTTGCAGGTCCGAGTGTGCGGACCCATAATTGTGCACACCATGGGCCGCGGATCCCACCCTGGGACGATTAACCAATCAACACCATCTGTCGTTGTGCAACATACATACCGTAGATAACACAAGACAACACACCTACATAAGAAATCATACCCTCCACAGAATACGACAGCCCGCTGATATTTTTGGGCGTTTCTGACAAACCATCGATTTTATCACCAGGGATACACAAGATAACACACCCCGGCGATGAAGTAAGGTGACGTATATATCAACGGGTCCCCTCCTCTTATCACCGGGGTGACAGCATCTGCCCCTGGGCATCACACACAACACAGACCCTCTGTGTGCGGGAAACGCCCCGCATGGAGACCTCCAACAACATGAACGTGCAGAAGAACAGCAGACTGCCGCCGCAACTACCTCCGCTTCTCCACCAACTACTTCGACCGCAGTTGCATAGGCGCAACAGGTCACCTTGTTCTTTCAACCCGAGCAAACTTCTTCTACGGAAGGGGCTACTGCTATGGCTCCTCCTGCTGCTGCTGTTAACCTAACAACCGCAGCAGCTAGAACAGCAGCAGGCGCCAACATGACAGCCACCACCTCGCCTCACCATCAGCCAGTTGCCGACGTGCTCTCAGCAGCACGCACGATTACCGCAGACGAGTCAACAAATACCACACAAGCCTCTCAGCTGGTGTTGGTGGACACCCCGTCATTATCACCCCCCCAAACACACCTGTGGGTGTTCGGACGTGGCATCACACCCCTGTGGGTGTTCGGACGTGCTATCACCCCCCCCGGTTTATCACACTCCCTTAGGGGCCCCTGCGAGCTGCCCTCATCACTCGGGGTAGATGAGATACCACACCCGGTAATAATATTGATAAACCCCAAAATTTCATCACCGGGGTGTGTTATCTTGTGTCATTTACGGTACATCGCTCTGCTGTTGCAGCCTACCTTGCCCGGGCTGTGATTGTCGGTGACGACAAGCGTGCATATGCCCGCGGGTGTTTTGGACGATGTTCTCAACATGGACCGTTGTCCATCCCCCCTCGAGTATTGTTGTAGACGGATTGCGCATACACTGCTAGACTGTAGGGAACGGGAGCAAGTGAAATACATTACTGAACCCCCCAGTCATACGTTGCTGCTGCCGTCGACAGCCGATGTACAACGTGTATATACGTAGAGATCTATGTGTAGTCTGTATGTACAATACGTATAGTAGCATAGGTCCACCGTGTGCCCTGTCCGTCTCCTATTTCTCATTTCTTGTTATTTCGGCCTGGTCGCTTTTTGTACTCGCTCTTTTCCGTTTTCTTTTCTCTTTCCTCCCTGTTTCTTTTTATTCTCTTCTTCTCGCCTTTTCTGTGTCAGACGGCCTTGTCTCTGCTTGCGTTGTGCAGTACGAAGATTGAACCAAGGGGGTGTACCTCTTTCCCTCTGGCCAGTTATGCTGACTCCTAGTCTCAGTTGCTACCTCACATAGCACACGGAGGGAGCGGAGGACTCCAGAATATCTGTCGTTGATTTCTATTGACTTGCGGACCCCTCGGGGCCAGTTGATTTGAGTCTAACTTTTTCGGGTAAGATAGCCTGCGACCACGGGAATCGACCGCGTCATGTGTTGGATCAGTACGGACATATGAAGCTACTGGGTAGGATCGGAACGGTTCTTGATGTGAAGACAACAACAACAACAACAATAGGTGCCCCCCATCCCCCATACTTGAGGGACACACAACGCCATGCCGGCCGACTGAACTACCGTAAGCCTACCGTGAGGTGGCCAAACAGCAAACTTATCCTGCTACCATGGCAAGCCATGGGTGCAGAATAATGGGTGGTTGCTCTCGCTCCGTCTCTTTCTCCACACTGCGGTAGGCAACGCCTACCCCAACTACTTTGTCCCCACCTTTTGAAGCTGGAACTCGCTTTTTGAAGGCTGGCCTCTTGAACGCAGGTTTCTTGAACGATGGCGCTGCCGACTCTTCATTACTTTGTGCAACGACTTGACCGTTTGCCGGAGCCTCGCTTCCAATTTCGTCCTCCATTACAGGCGCTGGGGTGGGTCGCTTTCGTTGCGAGATAAAAGCTGGGTGCTAGCGGAACACACTGCACTCACTGAGCAGTCGTAACACACTGCGAGGGGCCACGTCGTGTGAGGCTCGATAATACAGGGTACCCTACCTGGTTTTGAAAAAAAAATGGTTTTCGTGACGTTTCGGAAGTGCGAGGTCGAAGGACGGGGTAATCACATTCCCGGCCATTGAATCGGCCATTCTCGTTCATGCAACCTTTTGCCTGTTCCCTACGTTGCACTATTTGAACGCGCCCCGCCCGTTCCACCTGTAAACGGTCTCCCATCCCAACTTGCCGCTCAATGGTCGGTGAACTGTAATCCCGTATACGTACGTAACCTTGTGACTCAGTTGCGAGAGAGAAAACATACCTTGTGCAGAGTTTTTTCGGTTTGCACGGAGTACAGCAGCAGTAGTCTACATGCGCGAACGAACCAGCCTTCATGCAGCTCACAATCGAATCCAATCTTTTGCGGTCTATATACCCATCTCCAATAGGACTTGAAGCAAACTGGCATCACGTGCAGTGAGAACGTAAGACTTTCCTCTTCACAAGCCTCCAGCTGTCACAAGACCTTCTACTCGTTCGTGCCCCCCGGCAAGGTGTGTCATGTTGTGCAAGTGCAATTAGGAGGATTCTTAACGAGATTTGTTCTGTTGGAATATGCCGACATGCGCCCTACTTTTCGGAAAATGCCGATTTCTTGTCGGAAAATGCTGAAAATGAAGCGTCGGAATTTTTCGGGCGCCGCTTCATTTTCTGCATTTTCCGAAGAGAAACTCCGAAATGACTCCGAAATGGGAGCACTCGAGTTGCACTGCAGTCGCCAGCACGCTGAGCACCCTCTCGCACTCCAGATCTCGGGGACAGTCCCCAGGTGGCTTGCTTGTGTCGCCTGTAAGCTTGTAGACCATGGATGGTCACGGAAAGCGCTGTGGATCTGCAGATTTCGCGGAGCAAAGGCGGCGAAAGCGTCGCAGCCTGGAGATGAACCCGCTTTCCGTGATGCGGGCGATGGCTGCTGCGGTGGTTGTCGTGGTAGCAAACCCGGCGACCCCGGCAGCTTGCGACAGCATCGTAAGGGGGCATCGCGAACCCTCCGCTTCTACGGCAGCGGCGGGGGCGGCCACGCGCAGCCGGCGAGAGGCGTGGCTCGGGAGAGGGTCGCGGCCGCGGCCGTTGTCATCATCAACGGCGGCAGCAGACTGCTGCAACCCATGACCCAACCCATGACCACAGGCAGCACCACTTTCGCCTGTGTTGTCGTATCTCGCGGGTCGGCGATGGCCCCTCGGCGGCCTGCCGCCGGTAGGTCCGCTGTTCTCGTCGCTCTGCATGTTTGTACGCTGGCGCTGCCGCCTGCCTGAAGGCTGTGGTGTGTAAATGCTGTGCGTTTTCAAACCGAAAAGTCTGAGAAATTAAAAAAATGGACCGCCTGACGTTAAAGAAACGTCAGGCGGTCCGTTCGGATTTCTCCGAAAGCCAGTCGGCATATTCCAACAAACCGAAAAATCGTTAAGAATCCTCCTTAGACTATATTAGACTCTGCCTTGTAGCTTGAGATATCCGCACGTCCCACTTCGTTCTATCAATATGCTAGCTACCTGTTGTTGCTGCTGCCTTCCACGGCGATTACGACATGCCACAACCCAGTCGTCGAAATCATTCAAGAACTCAACACTAACAAAGTTCACGTACGCACGTGATGCCAGGTGCACTTCGAGTTCCGGCCCTCCTTCTCATCACGCATAGACTATAGATCGGATGTCTGTCGCAAACGACGTCATCATGGTGATAGGCTTCTTTCACAATAGGCGGCAGACACTGCCCTCGTCACTTTACCTCAAGAACATCATCGGTAATTTGCGCCAATAAAATTCGTTACAACCGGGTCTGCACAATATTTACTAGGTATGGGGGGGTCATGAGCGGCGTGGTGCGACTCAATACCTTGTAGTAGTCTTATCTGCGATGCTTGATGGTGCACGAATCCCGACACACACCAGCGTGAATCGTTTGTGGTGCAGCTACGCGTGCAGCACAGAGGGACAGCAGGCGTGCGACGGGAGCGACGATGATTGTACGTGCGGCCACCGTTCAAAATATTGCACTTTACATGCGGCTGTTTCTCTCCGTTTTGATGCACATGCATGAAGAAGCAAATTGTGAAGTCTTCCCGCCGTGCAGACGCAAACAATCACAGACACACGTCCGTACATCTGGGCATCTGGAAGAAGCATACATGCGGCATCCCCCTGGCGGCGAGCGTATCACACATGACATCACACCGTCGAGGATCACGACCAGCAGCGTTGACGTGTGATGGTGACACGACAGATGGCAATTATTGCGTCAGGCTCACAACGTGCCCGCCACATTCGTCTCAAGCCTTCCGNATTGCACTTTACATGCGGCTGTTTCTCTCCGTTTTGATGCACATGCATGAAGAAGCAAATTGTGAAGTCTTCCCGCCGTGCAGACGCAAACAATCACAGACACACGTCCGTACATCTGGGCATCTGGAAGAAGCATACATGCGGCATCCCCCTGGCGGCGAGCGTATCACACATGACATCACACCGTCGAGGATCACGACCAGCAGCGTTGACGTGTGATGGTGACACGACAGATGGCAATTATTGCGTCAGGCTCACAACGTGCCCGCCACATTCGTCTCAAGCCTTCCGAGTTCCCCGCCCGAGTGAAAGAAAACAGTCCAGTATGAACCAAAAACAACAAAAAACCGTTGATGGTCATTGTTGTTGTTTTTCTTGTTGTTTCTCACATTAGCTCTACAGTCCACAAAAAATGGGGAGCCCGTGGTCTCAACACCCGGCACATACGACGCCTTGGGGAAACAAAGCAAAAAAAGGGTACAAAGCACTCGGAAAAAGAAAACAAAATCTATCTTAGACTTATTTCTATAGATACAGATGAATTGTTGTGTGATATTAAGAAAAGAACAGGTACCGCACCGACCGTTCGACAAAAGAGCCCTCGGAACCCGATCAAAATGAAACAAAAACAAAAAAAAGGAGGACACTTCCCACAACTGCCTAAAGAAAAATCAAAGGGTAACGTACCAGCACCAGGCACTACGCACCAGGGCATGGGAGTCACGGAGAAAACAGGACAAAGAGGCGGCAGATTCGCAGACAGCCAGATGCAAAAAACCAGAAGAAACAGAAAAAGCGAGATCAAGTTACCCAACACAGCAGAGTAGGCAGGGGGCGGGGGGGGGGGGGGGG